AAAAAAAAAAAAAAAAAAAAAAAAAAAAAAAAAAAAAAAAAAAAAAAAAAAAAAAAAAAAAAGAAAACAAAACAAAACCAAAACCGAAAGATTGTTTAAATGTGCTAAAGGTAAAATACAGCAAACTGTATTTTTTGTCCTTAAACTATCATAAAAAGTTACTTCAGAGTTTACTTAAATCACCACTTAGTTTTCTTTTAAAAAGATAAAATAAAGAAAAAGAAGTTGTCATTTGATAATCTAGAGACTATATGCAAGGACAGTTGATTACAGAGTAATACATAAATCCTCTGGCCAGCAAATATGTGGTTAGTAAAGAAACCACATCTCCTGAAGCAGAAAATGCTCTGTAAGGAATAGCGAGAATAAAATATCACTAAAATCAAAATTAATCTTGCAGTGAGTGAATGTCGTTCCCCTGCAGATGATTAGTATAAGCACTGTGGCCACAACTCCCTCAAGACAAGAGACTTTGTTACACTGATCTCACAGTTGCTTTCACCCCTTATCTAGGAGTAAATTGCCATGATTTATATTAACCCACAGTTTTGGAAATCTCAAGTTTTTGCAATAATTTTCGTTGATATTTCTGTTTCTGTATAGTACACACACATAAACAGGACGTATTGCATAATCAAGTTGCCAGCCCAGATGCTTTTTATAGAAAAGGTTTCTTTTCAAGTGCTGGTTAGTGTTTGCTGGATGTTGGAAATGACAACATTTTCCTATGAGTACATGTTCATGCAGTGCCACGGCCTTCATGAATAAAGCCTTCTGGGAGAAAATTTACAATTGCATTTTGAAGACTGTATTACCAAGTATGTTAGCTATCATGCAACTTCCTATCTTTGAACCTGTGAAGAAGCACTTTCATTAGAAACTCTACCTTTATCTATTTGGTATATGTTTGGTTTTCAGTTTATACCTAGAAGAGCATGACTGAAACCCAGTGCACTTATTTTCTATCTTTGACAGTGCCTCAGGCGATATAAAGCAATGCTGCAAAGCAAAGAGCCAGATTAAATTTTTTTTTTTTTTTATGTTTAAATCCTCAGGGCTCTGAAAGTAGAAGAAAAAAATTCAGATAAATACATCCAAGTCAGTTCTGTTAGTACACAGGATGCTTTTGTTGGATTAAAGACTGGAGGGTATTGACTGTCTATGAATAATATGGTAATTCAAAAAACCCCACAAAAATACTTGCAACACATCTTATCATTCTCTTTTAAAAGCATATTCAGGCATGTTTTTTCCACCCTTCTTAAAAAAATAGACAAACAAAACTAAAAAAACCCCAACAACATAAACCAGCTCCATTTTGCTGAGCCAAGAAAGCTCATAAAGGTGAAGAGCACTTCTCATGGGATATAAAATGTGAATTGTATTTGGAAAATAAACTCTAGGTTATATTTGGCGTTCCTAGCCCATCCACCAACAACAGATGTTCTGACCTGAAAATGATATAATTTTGACAGCTGTACGGAAACTTCTCAAATAAACTACTGGGTTATTGTCAAATTGGTAGAGATAATTAATTTTTTTTTTAATTTTGAAGAGTGATTTCATTCTTTAACCAATTAATTGTGACTTTACATTCATTTTCTTCCAATTGTGAGTTTGGTGCTGAAGCTGATTTTTACTTGGTGTTTAGTCTTTTCTGTAGAGTTCCTATATCGTTGCTGTCCCTAAAGTCACTGTTCTTGCTGTTAGACTTTATTTTTAGATGACAATATGGAATTAAGTCCTGCCCCCCTTACAGTCTATAAATTTCCATTTGACTTCAGTTGGGCAGGAATTTTATTCCTGGAATCACTCCCATGCAGCCCCCTGCCTACAAGAAGGATGAGAGGGATGGGGAGCAGAAACACTGCTAGGTGGCAAAACCTCTTTACTGGATGTCCTGTGGTCTCTGTGAACTTAATCCCTTAAATCTCAAATCTAGGCAACAGGTTTTGTAAGTAGGATTGTGAAGGCAAAGGAGAGGAAGTGAGGACTGGACATACCTATTGATCTCATTCCTGGGGGTGGCTGTCACAAGCTACCTTCATTTTCTTGCTTGGGATCTCCTTATGATTCTGCATTAGTGGGGAACACAGTGGGTTTCTGATGCAAAGGAATTAAACCATCAGAGAGCAGCATATGCCAGAGAGGAGCATGAGGAGGGGTGAGCACACTGAGAGAGACTTGATCTGACTGGAAAAATCAGGCTGTGGATTTTGACAGATAGTTCTGCATCATCTATAATATGAAATTCATCACTGAGAATTTGGATGAGGAATTGGCTTTATCATGTTTTTATATAGAGACAGCCTACTGCCTTATTTTTTCAGATATGAATCACACTTCATTTCTAGTGAAAAGCACTTGTGTTTCATTTAATATTTTCATTATTGAAGTTGTCAAAATCTAGTTTCATTCTCCAGAATGAAACTGGAGAATTTTCTCTGGAACAGTATCAGGGACATTTCTACATGCCAAATATTGGTGTTTTCAGAGCAGAGACAGGGCTAAAGAGACTGTACAGTTTATTTCTCCAAATTTGATTCATGAAAGGTCATGTCAATATATGAGCAGCCTCTATGTCACATGTTAACCATGCCTAAATCAGTCTACCTATTCAAACTTCTTTCTGGAGTCATATAAAAGCTGCCCACTCATTTGACCCTTTCTTGATGGAAGTATCAGCAGTAAAACTACTGGCTTGAGTTCTGAACCTAACCGTATCCTCTGCAACTCCAGATAAGTTAATGAAGCTGCAGAAGAAACCAGATAAAAGAAACCTAATTTCCCCACAGGCCTTAGTGCATGGCATCCTAGGGTCGTCATACAACTCTAACAGAAGTCAAGCAACTGAAGAGAGGGAATAAAGCTTTCTTCCAAACTTCCCCTGTAATTCTCGTCTGTAGAATCATATGTACTCGAAGAGTTATGTTGTTGTGGGGCCAGTATCATCTAATTTCCTGAAAAACAGGGGATTTATATAAAAACTGGTCATAAGTAGATACAACCTTGCAACATGCACTTTTTCAAAATCTAATATTTGGATACATCAAGCCAAATTCAGTGACTGATTTTAAGCCATTTAAATATTGCAGAGCTTGGCATTTTATATTCATTTGTGGAACTCCTTGTAGCAGCTCCGAACACAGAAATTGTAAATAGACTTTCATTTTTATTCACATACAGAGCACAGGAGTTTTAAATTGCCCCAGGTCATTTTTTATGAGGAGGTCCAGAAGTGATTAAAGGGGAATTAGGATGATACAGCAGATAACTTGATTGAAAAGGTGATTGAAGTGGCTGATTTGAGAAGATTTTAAATTCAGCTACTAGAAGACGTATAAAGAAGGCCCTTATCTGTGGGATGCAAGTAGAAGCTGGGAAAAGCCTGGAAGGTTGTCATTGCTCTGTGTGATGGGGCACGTAAAACAAGGCAGTGGGACCAATAAGGGCAGGTGATGTGCTTGCACTTCGCAGAGATGGGAGGTAGGTGGCTCAGTGTACTACTGTATGCTGCTTTTTTCCATATGCTACCAACACAACTGGTCAGAAGTGGACAAATCTGTTTTCTATTTTGTGTTCCAGCTCTACACGGATCTGTAATATTTTGTCAGTAATGTGTTATCATCTCTAACTTGGATGCAACTCTTCACAGAAACTCTGTGTTGACTTACGATTTACAGTGAAATCCCAGCTCCTGCCACACAGAAAACCAAGATCCCACTGGTACTCTTTCCAGCCCTGTAAAGGATTCATGGTAGCTCTCTGCAGACAGGTCATTATTTTCTTATACCTCTACAGTTCCTCTGTTTCATCAGATAAAACATACTAGAAAAAGTGGACAGTACTTTGAATGAGAATCCAAATTACTAACTGAAAAATGTCAGATATGAATTCTAAAAGAATTTCATGTGAACTTCTGCACTGATATTTTTGTAAGGAAACTCCACCATTCTAGTGGGACATGTTAAAACTGGCAGTACAACCCTCATGTTCCTGGCCAAAGAACTTGTATAGTATCAGCCATGACCAAACCCAAGAAAATTAGAGCAAGTAGAAAGATACTCCACTCACACTAGCCCACTAGATATAGCTTTATCCAGAGAGTCTACAGACTGATCTAGCCTAAAATTTGATTTACTTGGTACACATGTGCAGCTAGAAACAGGTCTTCAGTGACAAGCACAGCAGCAAACAAGCGCTGATATAAAATTTTATATCTTGGGTTTCTAAGTAACAGATTTTTCCAAATCAAAATTTTCCTTCATTATGCCTTAACAGACAGTGAAATTGCTCTTGTAGGATATAGGACAAACTTCTTTTTAGACTGAAGGAGAGAATACATTATTACTACTACAGTCCAGTAACACAGTTCTTTGTTTTTTTTAACTGATAAGTGTTTTGTGAAAGAAACAAAGAAAGAAAGAAATACTTGTTAATAATTTTCTCTTTGTGATTATAGTAGCAACTAAGAAATACTGGTTTTCATGAATATAAGCCAGTCTTAAAACGGACAGTGGTCTTCTCCACGTTGTCCTGTTTTCAGGAAATGTATGCTGAGATAGCTTAAAACATGCTCAAAGTTATAGCAATACATTTTTCTGTTTAGATGCTCATCAGTCACAAGAAGAGATGAAGATGAGTAAGAGTATTGCCTTTTTCACAATTCATCTAGCATATGAAAAAAGACTTATAGACAATTAATTTGTACAGTGCTGCATAAACATAATCTCTTTCTGCTAGGTATAATGCACCTTTGGAACAAGCTGCACTCGACCAAAAATCCTGGGGACTTTGGGATCCATTTTGGCTGTGTTACACATAGATCTGTAAGCAGCTCCAAGCTGCATGCTCTCTTCTTGTGATCCCTCAAAAGAGGAATCTATATCCATAATGCATTTTCTTAGCTGGTTTGTTACGAGTTCAGCGCTCCTGCCACAGGCCTTTCAGAAAGGTCCCTTGTATTTCTCATACCAAACTTGCACATTTAAAATGTTGTGTTTCTCTTGTCTTACATCACTCATACAAACGGTGTCATCACTGCGGAAGAGTGACGCAGTCCTTGGATAGCTGCATAAGGACCCTGCTGAAAATAATGGTGGTACCTAGGCATGTGGAAGGATGGGAAAGTGGGACCACTACCTTGCATGGAGCTGGCTATAGCAGAGGGTGTAAGAGGCATTCCCAGGCGGCTGTATGGAGGCAGAGATCCTTGGATCGGATGAGGAATGGGTGTAGCTATGGATGCAGTGCTGGTACCCAGGGCACTCAAAGACTGTGGATGCTGAAATCCCGGGAAACTTGTTGAAGAGGAAACCCAGGAGCTGAGGGACAGGTTATCAGATGTTGTAAAGGCTGACCCTGCAAGTAGAGAGAAAGAATGCCTGACATTGGCACTGCAACATACAAAACTGGTAAAACAGCAAAAAGGGAGAAAATAAGTATTTCACAGCAAGGCTGATTTCAATGACCAGTTGTCACTGGAAATACTTCCCACATACTTCTCTCTTTATATTATTATTTGCTGGTTGCTGTCCTTTATCACTACATCTTAGATGAACTTCCATTTTAAGAAGATGTTTGCAGTGGTCTGAACAGCAAAATCAGCTTTGCACATCAGATATTTTTGGTGTTGAACACTGAAGCACCTTGCAGTGCTGCCACTAAACACTGAAGTACCTACTCTGTCATGGAATCTCACTGCCTTACATCACTGTTTTAAAAACATGCTTGTAGCTTTTTTGCGCCAGATCCTCAGTAGAACTATTTACTTTTTTTCCTAAAACTTCAGTGTGGCAAAAAATGCAGAGAAATGTAATTTGCTCTACAAGTTTTTCTTTTTTTTTTTTTTACCTCAGTAAAATTTGTCAACACTACACCTTTCCAGTCAACCTATTTCTACAATACAAAACAAAAAATTCTAGAAATGTAAATGTCAAAACATTTGTTGTATTTCCAACTGTGTACCGTGCTTCAAGAAACAACACTAATGCTAAGTCATAGTAGGAGGTTCCAAACTTGTTCTGAAGGTAATTATCTGATTTGATCAAATTAAAGTGGTTTGTTTGTTATTTTGTTTGGGGTTTGTTTAATCTGAAAAGTCCCAAAAATTATTTTCACGAGTCTTCATACTCTTTAAAATAATCTTTTTTTGAAGATTGAAGAATCATAAAGAAAAATAAAAATGGCTTCCTAAAATTTGAACTAATTACTTGTTGATAGTAAAATGTTGGGGCAAACAATTAATAATTTGTTTGGATAATTATGCATGGTCATTTTCAAATAATGTAGTTACTGTATTGCCCTTGTCTTCTGTAGTTCCTCTATGCACCTACTCATCATCATATGTCCGATTTCTAGAAATGGGGAATATAATAAAATTCCATAAATTCTCTTTATTCCTCTTCAAACAATAATTCAACTCATATCCCTTCTGTGTTTTCTTTCTGGACCAACTTTCTTACTTTAGAAAATAAATTTAGTGGCAAAAGCATTTGACAAAATACAATTTCAAGCCAGTATTGCAAAACATTCAAAGACAAAAAAAATAGTTTCATGAATCTGATTCTAAAAGGCAGGTTCTTCCAAATTGTGAAACGAAAAAAATATGTAGACATCTATCTGTCAAGGTAAACTTACTGGAATTAAGTATACTAACCAATCGTAGACCCATACTCAAACCAAAGCTATAAGCAGAAAACAACAGAAAGAAAAAATGCAAATTGTTATTTCTAAAAAATCATCCATCTTTTAAGGCATATATTCTCAAATCAGAAAGACAGATACTTACAATAATTTTTTCCCTGCTTAATGAAATAAGTAAAACAGTCCAGTAATAGGAAAAAGAAATTGTGTGAATTCAGCAGTGGAAACAAACTTGAACCAAATCCTGGCCTTACCACTGAAAAGAATCCTAACCACTGGGAAGTTAGGATCCAGAGACAAACTCTAAGGATAATACTTTACTCACAGACCACGGCAAAACCCTTGATAAATCAGGAGGTATCTGAGCATTATTGCACTACAGGAAAAGCAGGATGCAAATCTGGATTTGCCTAGAAGGTTTACATTTGGCTCTGTTCCAGGTGGCTACTATGAATCCTCTGTGTGAATGCAGATGTGCATTAAAGACTTTTAATTGGATTTGTATCTTTCTTATCTGTTAATTCCTTTGGAAATACATGTCTTGTGATGAATGTGCTACTGTAGGCTGGCAGCTTCCATCTTTAGATGGCTGAAATCATCTGAGCAGAGAATGCTCTGGCAAGGTGCTGAAATAATTAGAAAGTCTATCACTGCTATTTATTTCTTTGTTCTATGCAGAATAAAGTATGTGATTCTTTCTCATTAACGATTGTGAGATGATCAGAGGGCTGGAGCACCTCTCCTGTAAGATTTAGGATTATTAAACCTCCTTAGAGATTTGGGGTTGTTCGGCTTTGAGAAGAGAAGGCTTTTGGAAGACCTAATTGCAGCCATTCAATACACAAAGAGGGCCTGTAAGAAAGTTTGGAACAAATTTTTTTAGCATGACCTGTTGTGATGAGGAGTAATGGCTTTAAACTAAAGATAGTTAGATTCAGACTAGATATAAGGAGGAGATTTTTTACTATGAGGGTGGTGAAACACTGGCAAAGGTGGCCAAGAGAGGGGCTGGATGCCCCATCCCCAGACATATACAAGGTCAAGCTGGGTGAGGCTCTGAGCAACACGATCTGGTTGAAGATGTTCCTGCTTATTGCAGGGGGGTTGTACTAGATGACCTTTAAAGGCCCCTTCCAATCCAAACTATTCTGTGAATTTCATAAGGAACCTCCTCAAGCATCCTTTACTCCTCCAACTGCAATCGTCTCTAATTGCAGCTTGGTACTCCAAAAAATGTCACATACTACATTTGCCAGCACCAAGGAAATGTGCTCTAGTAATTCTGAGGCAATCAAGGCATCAGAGAACTTATAACACATGCCACCCAGCAACATGCATGTATTTGACTATCAATTCTCATATGTATGGAAGAACATCTATCAGTTTTGCATGCAAGAGTGTTTTAAAATGCACTGAAAGAAATTAGGATATCTATGGATTTTCAGTAAGAACATTATTTCTCTCCTTGTATTCTGGTAGGACTTTTCCTTATTTAAGGATACCAGACATAAAGAGAGAGCGAAGGCAGTACCAGTTGCTCAACTGCAAGAGCAGTATGTTTTACCCTCTGTGCATGCCTCTGGTTGCCCAGAACAATCACGTCCTATGCTAGCATATGGCTCACAGATTAGAAAAAAGTTCATTGCCATAATTCATAATCTTCCTCACTTACTCACTTGCCATATTGTGAGCAAATGCAGAACTGTACCCTTTTATTATACATAAAATTAACTGTAATAAAGTATTATTTCCTTCTATGATACCTTCCTAGGGATTCTTTTAGGAAGAGAAAGGATTTAATGGCCAGCTCTCATACTGAGGTTTACCTTGTTCATTTTGTCACTCCCAAAGGAGGACATCACACCAGGGAGAAATTTAGTTTTGGAAGAGAAGGTGCCTTGCTCTGAGCCCTTCTGGCAAGGGAAAATTTATTAGCCTTTAACAATAGCTGGCCTAGGATCTAAGATGATGTGAAGCAAGGTAATCCCCCAGAAGTATGTTAAAGGATGGTATCACACCAGGTGAGGAGTTGCTCCAGAAACTCTGTAATCTAAGGACCTGCACTTAGAACAAACGTGTAAGAACAAGCCCACCTAATCCCATTTTATTGAAAAGCCAGTCATAGTTAAAAATAAGTGTGTTTTCCCCGCACAAGTCCAAAGAGCTTATGACCAGAAATAAAGCTCTTATCTTAGCAATGCTGTATGAAGTTAGAGGACAAGACAAGGGCACTGCCAGTCGGAAGACAGACAGAACTGCTTTACCTCAAGTGGCTGTGGCATATCAGACAGGTCACAAAGTCAACATGCAAACTATAATGCAACACAAGTTTACGCTAGTCAGCAATCCCACAGGGTGGATTTGAGATCTATTTCCAGTGGCAAAATGTGACAGATGTAATTTGTCCAGTAAGTATTCCCACAAAGAACAAATCTGTCTTGCTACTACTTTTGCGACTGCTAAAGCAGACAAACTGATAAAGCATTTGAGAGCTAATTGCCTCAGCAGGAAAAGCACCTTTTAGAGACTAAGAGATAACAATTAAACATCAATTTTCCAGGGAGCTACAGACTTTTCTTCCTGTGGAGGCAAAGCAGGTTAACTACAGGCCTGTTGAAGATAGTCAGAACTAAGTCCTCTGTTCACAGAAGGCTGGAGGGACAGCAAGTGGCACATCTATGGGGTACTTTACGAATGGCACAGGGCCCAGTTAGTAAGTCCTGCTAAGAGGTGGGCAGTGTTAGCTTGTTCTTGGCACCATGGTAATGAAGTTGCCTGGTTTTCAGACATCTTGAAGAGGAAGCAGAGCTGATTCTCTTCTGATGGCAAAGACTATTATGGTCAGCCCTAGAGCTACCTCCTGAACTGAACCCCTTACAGCAGTGCCATGGGCACATCAGATGTCCCAAAGAACCATAAAGTAACAAATATTCCTCTTCATTATAGGACTTCATGGCAGAGAGACACATCAGAGAAAAGCTTTAGAGTACCACAGTCCTGACTATGGCCCTGGTTTTCTCAAGCATAACTAGGTCACCACAGTTTACCTCATGAGCACGTTTTCCTACCTCTGCTTTGTGTTGCCTGGCTGTCATCTCCAAGATCATCTTCTCCTCCATAGGTTCGAATGGGGGATCGGGCATAGGAATGCTTTTGGATAAGGCTCTCCACACTTTCTCTGCAAAAAGAAACAACCTACTGTATGAACATCATCCTAAACATCATCCTAATTTATTAGCTCAAATACAGTACCTTTTTCCTGTCCAGATCACAATTCTCTCACACAGACTCTCCAAATTACTTAACAAAAGACTTACCTCATAGCATGACATTGAAAATACTGAATTTGGCCTGTGTTTTTTTAGTATGGATGATCACCTCTTACCTGCTTACTCAGCCAAGAGAGCGAACTTGCTATTGTGTTCCCTAGATGTGGTCAGAAAATGTAAGACCAGCACTGTTCATAAATTTGAAAATGCAAACTCAAATGGGGTTATTTGTGCTGAGTGGTCTGGGTTCAAAGAGACACCAGTGCTCCTTTCAAACAAGCTTTTGAATTGCACGTGACCACCTCATCTGCTGCTCTCTCATTTTTCTGAAATCAGGGGCAAGAGACAGCTCAGCTCTAACCATGCTTTCTCAGCATCAGAGTCGAGGGCAGTTCTAGCAGGAAGTCTGCAGATACTACTGATCTCGTGCCACATCTATTCTGGGAGGTTAGACGTGTCTGCCAGGCCCCTGCCTCACTGGTGGCACAAAGCACTGAAGTCACCCAAACCATTTTTAAATAGAAGGAAGGCGTATCTACACGATAAGCCTTAGTAGTTTGTAAGGAAGATCCAACCTTACACATTCCCAGCGCATTTTCATGTAAGTAGGTGGCATCATACCAACGAGGAATATGACCCAGGCACATTTCCAAAATGGCTTTGACCTTTTGTCTCTATTTAAGAACTTTAAGTAGGAATAGCTGCTTAAAACTGCTGTTTAATGAAGGTTTTTGTCTGACTTTACCATTTGTCCATTCATACTGGCTAATGCCCTTCTCTTGGAGAGTGTGTCTATGGCAGAAATTCCAAGGAAAAGTATTTATCAAGTAACATGATAAATCACAATGGCACATGTTTTCCTTTCCTACAGAAAGTCCATTATGGTCATTTTGTCCTTGGTCTATCACTGGCATCATTACTTATGCTAGTCTCCTCAGAAAAAAAATAAATAAAAAGAGGATCTTATCAAAGTGATTTACTTGTGTCAGGATTGGAAGTGGACTGAAAGCAATGGCAGTTCCTACATAGAGGATGATATAATTGGATTACTGCCTTTTAAGTGATTGAAAACAGTAGGCATATCAGGGCTATCTCAAAGAAGATTTTACAAAGAAAAAGACAGATGGCATTGTTTACATTATGTGCTGAATGCCTCTTGAAACATAAGGCTTTTTTTCTGGAGCAGAATGTGAAATGCAAAGAATTTTACTTAACCAAAGAGACTATCTCATATGAGTACAGCATAACAGAATAATGAATTAGACCAGTGTTGTCTGAGTGTTTAGATACCAGTATATAAACCTATTCATAACCAAAGAATGACTAGTTTTTAAAGGTCTGAAAAATAAATGCAAGTCAGGTGATTGTCTGTATTGTCTCTATTGACTTTATTACTAGTAAATATCTGCTTATAACGACAGACATTACAGTGTGTAATAATATCCTGATGCAACAGAAACAATGCAGGCTCTAGCTTTAGAACAATGGGCCAATTTCATCTCCAAACATTGGATTCAACAGCGGCTTGGGGATAAACTCACCCTAATAAATTTACATTTGAATTACCTACAGGGATTTAATGCTAAATCAAATGCCCACAATTATTGCAGACTAAATTCTTTCCAGATGGATTTGTATGCTAGACAGAGAACTCTATTATTCTACATATTTGTCTTCTTTTTAAGGAAAAAGAGAGCTGACTTCTTAATGAACCCTGAATCTGCAAAGTTTGAAACCAGGAAACTATGTGGTAGGCTTATTTATTTATTTTTTTATGTTGTAGTGATGCAAGTAGTATGCTAAAGGTTTTAGAAGATTAATCTCATTCATCAGCACAAGGGGCAAAGGTTTTTATGGCAGAGAGAACGGTCTAACGTGGAAACTCAGACCAGGGAAGGCAACTAATTTCACAAAAGCAGCTGAGATTTAATATTCAAAACTGTGTATGCTTATCTTGCCTAACCATGTTGGTTATTTATGCTATAATTACAAAACACCTACTGATTTTTCAGTTTAGAGGTTGAGGCTGTGACTGGCATCATGAATGCAAAGCACTGGGATTCACACCAGAATTTAGGCACCTCACTCCCTTTAGGTGAGCCTTCTTCTTTCCATATACAACACATGTAGCATATAAACCTCGAAACAGACCTACAAAATGCAAAAGGCTGAGCACAACTAAATGTGCAAAAGGAAACAGAGAAAAACAAGAAGTGGTGCATTTTCTCCAGTCATGAAGTATATCTCTAAGTTATTCCTCCAAGCACTATATCTTCCACTTGGAAAAACAAGAGCAGAAGTCTGCACTTAGGTTTCTTTCCTTCCCTTTGTGTTTCGAAGGAAAGGGGTGGTGGCCTCTGAACCATGCTGAAATATTCCATGCTAAGAAAACACCATCCAGAGTGTGGTTAGCAGAGACAGGGGTTGCAACTCATCTAATCTGTGGAAATGTTTGGAGTTTACTCCATAGGTTGGAAAGAGGAAGCCAATCTCTTTACCCTTTAAAGACAGAGGTGCCCTAGGACTTACTCCAATACAAAGAGGTAGGAGAAAGAAAAACTTTAACAAGATTTAAGTGTCTGTGAAATCTAGTTCAAAATACAGAAACAAAGCTGGCAGTCTGTAACACAGATTTCTTCCTTATACTCATTTCCACTGGGGCCAAAAGGACTTAAATCTCAAAATCTTCCTGAAAATTCTCTTTATGGAAGTGTGAACACTTTAGGTTAATCAAATATGGTGCTCTGTAGAGTGGATTAGTACAACATACTTGTCGGAGTCCCAGAATATTACAATAACACTACTACTAAGAGGGAAAGACATTATCACCTCTGGCTTTATAGTGCTGTATACAACAACTTCAGATATCTTGATATGGTTCAAAGGATTTATTGAAATAAGTTTTAGAATTACCGAATGATAAATCAATATTAGCCATTTTATAATTCTATGCTCATTTTCAAAAAATAGCAAGTGAAGACCATGGTGGAGTTTTTTTAAAGTTTCTTTGAGTGTTTTTTTAAGTGCTGTTTCACACTAAACTATCTGAAGAATAAAGTGATTTCCAGTCACTCAATACTCAACTTCTGTCCTTCTGTTTCTTTGTTCATGATCAGACAATTGTTATCTAATACTGGGACCTAACAATTTTTACCTTTCAATGTGTCTTAGAACTCCAGTTCTTCTATTATCAATAAATCAGCAATAAACTTTGTTCTGAGAGATCACAAGCTGCCAACTGGATAAAGGGAAGATATTTTCTTTTTGTCAAATTCTTTTGTGTTGTCTACCAATAATTTTCAGTCTCCCAGTCTGCACTTCAACTCCTATCTTGGAAATGCCCAGAGGAGGAGAAAAAGCACGCACATAGGCACGAATTTTTTTACTATGATTAAGCTGTGCAATGTTTACAGCTGGATAATAGTGGCAGGTAACAGGCTGGAGAAGAGCAAGTTAGGGACTGAAGCTGTTTGAGAAAAAGGAACCATGTGCTAAATGGAAAGGAAAAAATTGAACTCATATTGGCAAGCACACCCACAGAGAAGATGCTGAGGCAGGAAAAATGTGAGGAGGGGCAATAGGGAAAAAGACCTCAGGCTGATCCCAATAATCCACATTCCAACAGGAGCACACCTTGAGCCCAATCCTGTCAATAAACCTTACTACAAATGAAGCACTTCTCTCTGTGCAAGAAATAAACCGGCAAAATTTGAACCTGAAATCAAAGGATGTGAATGGCTGAGAGATTTCATCGATTAGCAAGGGTTTAGGGTGCACAGGGAGCATCTTGCCATTCTGCAGGTTGACCTTGATTTAAACATTTCACTCTTGTCCCTGCTGGCAAATGATTCCAAAACTAAACTTCCAGTTAGGGATGCTTTATGTTGTGCGGCTACGAGCTGAGTCTTTGGGCTTGTTTAGTTAATAGTGCCCTGTACATACAGAGTTGCCTTAGGGGACAGCAAATAGATAGGAAAATCCTGATGTAGCTGACAAATGACTCACTAACACTTTACAGACCAAACCCAAGGTCTTGCTGTGGATTTGAACTGGAAGCCAGGTTCAAGCTCCTTTGAATAAAACATGCTAAAGCCAAATTGCAGTGAGAAAGAGCAGGTGGCAGAGCCAGGCACTCTGAACTTACATCCTCTGCATAAGTTACTGCTTCAGGAATGGCTACCAGAGGTACAAATTTCCGAGCAAAGCTGAGCAGCTTCTTAGCATTATCTTTTTTTTTTTTCCCTCTCTTTCTATCCAAGTGCTAGGTATGTGAAAAGGTAAGGATATCCTCAGAATCTTCTCTCTGTTCCTGGTGTCATGGGGTGTGCTTTTTTTCTTTTGTTTTGGTTTGGTTTTTTGGTTCTTTTTCTTTATAAGGAAAGGCAATCCCAATAAAAAATAATAGCAGGAAAATAGTAAAATAATAAAACTGACAACCCTGTTTTGCTTGGCCTTTCAGTCCAACACAAAGAAAAATACAGAACAGGATATAAAGTGTATGAATTATCAGTTTGCAGCCTGAATGACTTCTTTAGTTCTGCATTTCAAAGGTTTCCTTTTTTTGTAGCTGCCAGTTAGTATGTTTGGAAGAATGCCCAGATAACAGAAGACGTCAGAAGTGAGGTGAGGTGAAGACAGATGGAATAAATGGACTGAGAAGGCACAAAAATAAACTTGTCGGAAGTCAAACTGTAGTAGAACTTCTTTTTTAAGGGAAAAGATGACTAATTTGTCCAAGGTGCAAGTGCTAAAAACAAGTCTGTAAAAAAAAAGAAAAAGAAACAAAAAACTAAACCAAAACAATCCCCCCCCAAAAAAAAAAAAAAAAGAAAAATCCAACAACTTCAAAAAACTAACTAAACCAAAAAAAAACACACATCACCCCAAAAAAACCCAAAATAACTCAACT